TAAGGCAAACTAGTACAAAGTACTTGGAAATGTGTTTACTGAACTAGTTTTTCTGAGTTGAATATACTTAAGCTTTGGTAAACTGCAAGCAACAAATTTTGTACACTGTACTAGTTGGTCTTAGTTATAGGTACTTGCATTTAAATATATATTACTTTGTACACAGGAGGAGCTTCAAAACACAATTACCTAGTACCATGCACTTATTATTCTAAGTGCAATCAGTTTGCATGTTTTTTTCAAGTAAGTACAACTATCAGAAACTAGTCCCGCTTACTAGGAAATTAAATTAAACCCTGGGAACCCTGCATTCAGATTCAGATTTACCATGCAGGAGGTTGTGAAAGCTCTTAAGCAGGCACCTGGCCCAGACCACATCAGCAGCAGAGTTCTCAGAAACTGTGCACAGCAACTAGGGGGGTGTGTTTCAGACCTTGTTCCAGAGCTCCATGGATACAAGCACAGTTCCCCAGCTCTGGAAACACTCTACGGTCATACCCATTCCCAAGACTAGCAGGGTTAAGGCTCTCAATGATCTTCGACCTGTGGCTTTGACCTCTTTACCGAAGAAGGCTATGGAGAGGATCCTGAAACATCACATTATTGGAGCCTTACACCCTCAGTTAGATCCACTTCAGTTTGCGTATCGGAAAGGGAGAAGTGTTGTTGATGCAAAAACATTCATCTTAGACATGGTGCACAGACATCTGGAGATCCCAGACTCTTCAGCTAGACTCCTGTTTGTTGACCTCTCCAGCGTTTAACACCCTGCAACCTCACATGGCTGGCAAACTCGCTTCTCTTTTTCATCTGGATGATCAGATAATCCTATGGATCCTGGATTTCTTAACTAACAGATCACAAAGAGTGCTGGTTAACAACACTCTCTCAGACCTTCTTTACACCTCCACTGGCACCCCACAAGGCTGCGTGTTGTCTCCTCTACTCTTCATTCTCTACACAGATGACTGTAGATCCATCCAGCCTGACAGTTACATGGTAAAATACGCTGATGACACTGTGCTCCTGTCTCTTCTGTCAGGCCCTACTGTTTACCACGGGCATGTCCTGCAGGAGTTTGGGGATTGGTGTGACACTGCATGCCTGGAGCTGAATGTGACCAAAACTAAGGAGATGGTGGTGTCCTTCTCAAACAAACAGAGAGCGCTGGTTACCGCTGCCTCCACTATCAGTCATGGACAGCCAGTGGAGCTGGCTGAAGAGTATAAATATCTAAGGACCACCTTTGATCACCTCCTGAAATTCGCTTCCAACACTGAGGACATCCTCAGAAGGTGCCAGCAACGACTCTACCTCCTGAGGAAGTTGAATTCATTTGGAGTCAGGAAGGACATTTTACTGACTTTCTATTATTCTTTTGAGTATTATCACATTTCCCATCCCCTGTTGGTTTTATTCTGTCAGCCTGCGGTATAGAAACCATCTACAAAGCCCCGTCAAGGTGTGCTCTCGGATCATTGGACTACCACTGCGAAACTTAACTTCTCAATGTGACCAGCATACAGGAAGTTTAGCACAGAAAACCATTGAAGACCCATCACACCCTCTTCATACTGTTTTTGAGTGGCTGCCCTCCAAACGCCGACTTCGATGCCCATGCTGTAAAACACAGAGGAGGAGAAGCTCCTTTGTTCCCAGAGCTGTGCTTCTTCTTAATTCTCAGTGCAGATAGGGGGCGTGTGCATTACTTGTATGTATGTGTGCATGTAGTTACATGTATGCATGTGTATTTGTGTGTTTATGTGTGTGTGTGTGTGAGCCAAAGGTTTACTCATTGTTGGTCATTCACATGTGAGGTTATGACATGAATGCGTATATAGGTTTTATGGGTTTTACAAATGTGTAAATTGGTTGTGTTTTTAGAATTTAGAGATTTTAGCGCCGGCTGCTTCACAACGCTGTCTCGAATTGCCCCTCGGGGACTAATAAAGTTGTCTTGAGTCTTGAGTAGGAAAAAGTTGCTTCAGCTGAGTACGCTGCGTTAACGCCGCACTGAAAAACACCAGTTAACTCATGTCTTGTACCCCTCGTGATTGTGGACAGCTGTCCACAGTGAGAGGAACACAACGAGCTGAGTCCTGAGTGTTTAGTGTGAACCATGCACCACTTTTTCATTGTGACAGTGGGACGGCACAGTGACCAGCCTCCTCACTTACGGTAGCAAAATCACACAACAAGTAAAACCACATTTGCAACAGTAAACAAAAATAATAACTAAGGACCCCCCTCCCCCCCCCCCCAATAAACATGCATAAACACCCCAAAATAGAACAAACTAACTAAAAAAGTTGCTACCAGTCCAACTTAGAATAAAGGAGTGGGGTCTGTGAATTTACTCTGCAGGTGTTATAGCCACTGAGGAGTTCAGAGTTAGCTTTTCCGGAGTTATTTGGTCCAAAATGACCCTTACAGAATTGATTAGGAAACTCTCCTTTTCAACACTCGGCGTTAACTCTCATGTCCGTGTATAACTCTATGTGTTAAATTAATTATTCTTAATGTTAAATTAACTGTTCTTAGTGTTAAATTGGGCCAACTCCCCGATATTCACACTTTTACTCAGAATAAATAGTGGCATGCACTTCTTTGATATTCAATTAAAGTTTACTTAATAAAATCTAGTTAGTAGCACTATTTAGTACTGAAAACTCGTCTAAAACAAGTGATACGTACTACTGGATTTTACAGTGAGCATCAAACTCTGCTATCTTACCTGATCTAATAGGTGAAGGGTCAAATCGCCCATGAAATTCAGAAAACAACAAAATCTCACTTCTGCTTCTGCAAACTGAGTAAGGATTGTGATTGGTGGATCACTGCATACATGTCAAGTACCCTTAAAATTAGATGAGAACATGTTGAGTCCAACATTACACCTGAACCTGGGATGCGACTAGCATACACATACATCGCAATGTCAATGCTCAAATGTACCATCATGCACCTCCATGTTTCATCCCATGCTCTCTCATCTCAGGACCTTCAAAAGTCCCTAAAGCAAGAAGAAACTGCCGGGTGGCGTGCTTTTTAGTTCAAGATATTACTCAGGAATGCTCTGTCGAGGATTTTAAAGCTACGTTAAAAGATTATCTGCCAGTTCTTTCTGTTGGAGGCTAAATATTACCGTTGTGACACTTACTTCCTCCGAACACAGTTGGATGTTCTGATCTTTACCAATGTCCACACAGCTCCCACCGAGTGTCTGCTAGCTGCTTAGTAGGCCAGCAAAGTAGCAGGTCAACACATCTAGTCAGTAAAAAAAAAACGACACTAACATGTTTTAAATGGGTATCTGAGCCACGAATAATACATTTGTCTTCATTATCATAAAAGTCGGAAGAATAAAATCTTTTCCGAATACCAGCAGATAAGTTAGTAACACACACAGTCCATGTTTGTTCACTCGTTAAAAGATTCTGTTTATTTTCCACTTTTATGCATTTTAAGACCTTCTGACTCAATTCTGAGCCAAGCACCATTTAATGCTTTTTTGGGAGGAAAACAAAATAAAAGTCTATGTTGCTTGGAAACAAGCCCATTGACAGGCTCCAAACATTTCCCCAACCATGTTGAGAGGCCCGTTAGCTTTTATAATGCAGGTGACACCAGCTCTGACCCTGCGCTACAAATGGCTCGCTGTTCGCTTCAGCACGGCACTTTTTCTTCATACCTCCTCCAAGACCCAGCCCCAGTTGTTTGTGTGTGTTTGGGTAATTATTCTCTCACCTGTGCAACCTTCCGCTGCCCCTCACCAAGGCACCAACACCAGATGGAGGAAGCCTCTGGTAGTTCTCCAAAGGAGTCCAAGTAGGTTACGGCTTTTACAGGGTTGCTAATTGAGTCCAGTTGCTGAGGGCCTCGGAGAAGGTCCGCGATGGTGCAAAAACGCACACGTGGGGGAAGAACACCGGCAAACACCGTGCAGAAATGCTGATTTCTTTGGTGCCGCAAAAGCTCCGGATGCATCGACAGCCCTCAAATTAAGCAGCTCGGAGACAGATGAATCAAATGCGTTTCCATTACGGGGCAAATTTTCCATCTACTCCCAGTCATAACGACACCGTATAGCAGCATTATGGGGAAATATCAAATTAGGCTGTTTCATTTGGAGGACTGTTGTGCATTGCAAACAGCTTCGGAGATCAATTGAGCTGCTAGGTAATGAGCGGCAGCGGCCTGCTCTAATATACTCAGTAATGTTCTTTTGATTGCTTTGGTTAATCTTGCTTTGCCGTGCAGAGGTGTGTGTGTGTGTGTGTGTGTGTGTGCGTGTGTGTGTGTGTGGTTAGGGGGAGGTATCTCCTCCCTCCCTCTGCTGAAGCACCCACATCAGCACAGGTTGGAGGGGAAAATAACAAAATGGAAAGCAGAGTTAGAACGAGAGAGGCAAAATGAATCAAACTATTAAATCAGGATGATTCTTGTTCACATTTTGCACCAACAGGAAATCATTAGACTCCATGAGAAGTATGCCTTTGGCTGGCTTTGTGCTGAAGGACGTTCAATGGGCTCAGTGAAAAATAAGAGGCCCCAGATGAATGGGTCATGATGTACAACCTTCAGATGGAGTGTTGGTGATGTGTTTTGACGTTGAAGTGGATGGAATCAGACACAGCGCACCACTCTGACTTCTGAAAGTAAATCTTCTCACTCTCAAAAGAAGCCACTCCACCGCGCCGCGACACTCACAGCTGTGGCCATTTAATATTCTCCAGCTCAGCTCCACTCCTCTGCACCTTTTGCTCACCTAGAAAATGCTAACAAACCTGTCCAACCACTTTTGCAATATGCTGCACTGCACTACTGCATGCCACACCATCTGCCACGTGTCGCTGTGCAGAAAGAATATTTATTCACTCATAACTGTGTTGCTTTGCATTCACCTACTTTTGCAGGACTGCCCACGCTCAGAGATAGCAGTCAAACGGGGGGGTTAGCGCTCAGATGGGATTGGGGGGTGTTGGTAAAGTGACTTTTACCTCTCCACGTGGTCCAGGTTCCCAGACACGCCCAGTCCTCCGAGGGTGTACAGTTTGCCGTCGTACACCAGACTGTTGTGTCTGCAGCGAGCCACGGTCATCCGGGACACCAAATTCCAGTTGTCCAACAGGGACATGTAGCACCACACGTCAGCCACCATCACCCCCGACTCGGTGCCTCCTGTGATGAATAATACAGGCTCTTAATTGAGATTAAACATGTTAACTACCCGGCGGCACCATGAACCCTTTGAAGAACTCCAGAAGTTTACATGATAGAGATACTTTGGATTAAATCTGCATGTTTGTGTGAGTTTGTGATGGGAAGAGAGTTTGTAGAGCTAAACTCTGATCGGGTCAGAGTCAGCTCCCTTAAAGGAGCAGTCCAGTTCTGTGGAAAGGTTAGGAACAATTGTTGTTACCTGCAGTAGAAAGAGGCTTGAGTACAGTCAGTTTCACATTAAACATAATTTCACACATAATTATGTCAAAATGTACAGCTAGCATTAGCACTTCCTTTTTGGTCATTTTGACTGTAAATTCATGATACTTCTAACAAAATGACCAAGTAATACAGATTCTAAGGTTTATATAGCATCTGCATTTATTCTGGAGCAATTTAAACAGACCAGAGATTCACTTTGGACTGGTGTGAAAGCTCCTCTGAACTTGCAAGTGCACAAACCATTATTACATTTAGAAATTGGGCGGGAACACTGATAAATAATTCAGATTTTGTCATGCAGGCTGAACAAGAAAATAGTCTCCTACACCTACAGTGGGTACGGAACGTATTTACACTGTCATATTGAGGCCATTTGCTAAAATCAATTAAGTTCATTTTTTCCTCATTAATGTACACACGGCACCCCATATTGACAGAAAAACACACATTTTAGAAATTTTTGAAGAGTTATTAAAAACAAAAAATCTGAAGTATCACATGGTTCTAACTAAGTATTCAGAAGAGCCATGGTGAGAGCGTTAAAGAAGGACCCAAACATCACCGCGGCTGAAAGTGCAACCCTCCACCGGTCGGAGCTGTTTGGCAGAGTGGCCCGTCTGAAGACTCTCCTCACTCGTGACATGGGAGAACTCCTCCAGGCTTTTGTTATGTGTGGAGATAAAACATCAACGCTGCAAAGCAAATGGAGTCAGTCGTAGAGTCCCAATCCTGTTAGCCAATCAGGAAATATGACTCCAAATCCTGCTGTCTGAAGCTACTTTGGCCCATTCACAGTGCTCTCACTGCCCTCTACGGTCTTCTATGAAGTCCACTTGGAGGAGGTGTGCAGTCGGGCTTCGAGTGCGTGGTACACAAGTGTGCAAATGATTGCCGAATTAGGGAGCATTGTGTCATCGATCGCAACGCATGCCGTGATGCTGGCCGCAATTCAACTTTAAAAAATCTTTATTAACAACATTCAAACAAACAATTTTTTGGAAATAAATTTACATTCATTGCTGTCCACATTAAATCTTTGTCTAAAACATTCAGAGCATCAACTAATCATCCTAAAATGAACTACCTGAGCCTTTTCTCCCTTCGATGAAGTCCGCATCAATGTGGACTTGGGTGAAGTGCGGATCAAGGGTGTAAAAGGGGCGTGGTTAACTTCTGCATTCTACGCACTCGCACCCCTGGCTGGGATCGTGCAACTGAAGGGTGCAAGTGTGGAAGTGCAAGTATTGGGATTGACTGGATGGGGTTCATTTAAAAAATAACTCACATTTACACAAAACAGATGACTCTGCTGTGTATTAGAGTACATTTAATGTATTTTAAACCAACATTTGGTTTCTGCATCCCATTCACCAGTGACAGCAGGATAACTGGAATTGACCAGAAGCGGTTTAAGGTTGTGCTGACTAGTCAACCAAGCAGCCGAAAACATATACTTGTTTTTAAATCAGCCCTTTTGACGCTGGACTCTCAGTGACCCTGGTGCAGCTTGAGGAAGGTTACAGAACGGCGCCTCCTGATTGGCTGACTCACAAAGCTCTGATTTCCCCGCTGGCTGAGCGACTCCTGGTAGACACATGCAGACCTGTTTCCAAAGCCCGAACACAAATTTACATTTATATGAAAGAAGCGGGAGAGGAAAGGCACACGCGGGACAAATCCTGTTGCATTTCCTCAGTGCGATGTGAAGGGCTGGGCCGGGAGCACAAGGCACTGTGGAGGGAGGAAAAGAGCAGCTTAAAGGTGCGACAAAATAAACTCGAGCAGAAGTGAAGCTAAATGAAAGAAAATGGAAAAAAAAAAACGTTCACAGAAGGTAATCACAAACGCGTTTCCCCAAAAGAAAGACATTAAAGGTGTCTGCCGTGTTGAAGCTGTCAAAGCCACATGTGGAAACTTTTTCAGGTCTCTGTAACTTTAAAACTCTTGAAATGTTGCAGAAAGGTCACAAGAATGGAGCAACGGTGCAGGTTCAATCTGCCGATTCTCGCTGGCAGCAGACAAAAATATGTCGCTCAAATGCCACATTTAACAAAGGAAACAAAAAATCCTGTGTTTTCTATCTGACTCTGGAACTATCTGAATCTACAACATATTCCGGAAGAACACAAACCTGTAGGTGCAAGAAGGACCTAATCAAGCAGCTGTTGGTAAGTACGTTTAAGACTACTTCCTGTTTCTTTAGCCTAAAGCAGAGGCACCCAGTTCTGGTCCTGGAGGGCCAGTATCCATCATGTTTTTGTTATTTCCCTGCTTCAACACACCTGATTTTAATTGGGAGGTGATGATCAGGCTTCTGCAGAGCTTTGTGAGCTGCTGAACAGGTGATTCAACCACTGAGTCAAGTATGTTGGAGCAGAGGAACAACTAAAGCATGAACCGGTCCTCCAGGACCCTGGGTGTTTCTCCATGCCAAGGAACCTCACCTTGGTGTCTTGGCCCCGCCCCGGTTGCCTAGGAGATACGTCATCAGGAACCACCAAGGCGTGTTCCGATGTTCATGTTCTACTGAGATGTCTGTTCTCCGTTTGTTAGCCGTTTAGCTAGCTGAGCAAGTATACATGGGAGGTGTGTTGTAGTCTAGCCTTGGTCAAAAATTTGCCAGAACACACCAGTGTATTTTCATAAGGGTGGCGGATCTGAAGCTGGCAGCTACTTTGGGAGCTAATTTCAAGTTTAATTGTAAGTCAACTAGTTGTAGCCATCTGGTTGATTTCCAAAATGTGTTTTTCAGATCCAAAGAAGTTATCTATGGTTGGTTAGTTGCTTATTAATTGCAGCTTCGGTGGCTAATGGGTAGTAACTCGCTTACATATTTTATTTAACAAAAACACGCAATTTAAAAAGTAAAAGTATATATTTATGTTGAAATTTATACGTATAAAATATAACGTTAGCTCCAGTGTCAAGTGATGTTACGTGACCGCCGCGGAAGCCGTGGTCACATGATGCAAGTCTGTTCCATTTAACAGTTTTCTTTGACCAAGGATGGACAGTGTCCTCGTAAGCCAGTGTCCTCGTAAGCCAGTGTCGTCGTACGCCAGTGTCGTCGTACGCCAGTGTCCTCGTAAGCCAGTGTCCTCGTAAGCCAGTGTCCTCGTAAGCCAGTGTCCTCGTAAGCCAGTGTCGTCGTACGCCAGTGTCCTCGTAAGCCAGTGTCCTCGAAAGCCAGTGTCCTCGTAAGCCAGTGTCCTCGTAAGCCAGTGTCCTCGTAAGCCAGTGTCGTCGTACGCCAGTGTCCTCGTAAGCCAGTGTCCTCGAAAGCCAGTGTCCTCGTAAGCCAGTGTCCTCGTAAGCCAGTGTCCTCGTAAGCCAGTGTCGTCGTACGCCAGTGTCCTCGTAAGCCAGTGTCCTCGTAAGCCAGTGTCCTCGAAAGCCAGTGTCCTCGTAAGTCAGTGTCCTCGTAAGCCAGTGTCGTCGTACGCCAGTGTCCTCGTAAGCCAGTGTCCTCGTAAGCCAGTGTCCTCGTAAGCCAGTGTCCTCGTAAACCAGTGTCCTCGTAAGCCAGTGTCCTCGTAAGCCAGGTTTCGCAAGGCGAGGCCTGGAGCCTTGACATTGAGAAATACCCCAGGATTGGACACCCCCGGCTTAGAGCATTGGCAGTTCTGGAGGGTGGGACTGACATCTGATAGGCCTCCTGATGTGCCTCTGTTCTGTCACTCATCTGTCCTTTGTGATCAGATTATAGGTGGATGCAATTTCATGTCCAGACACTGGTGGTGCTAATGAGCCAAATATATTTTTCACATGTAGTGTCAGGATGTTAGCCAAATACTCCATCACTGGCTTTGAGATAAATAAATAAATAAATAAATAAATAAATAAATAAATAAATAAATAAATAAATAAATAAATAAATAAATAAATAAATAAATAAAACACTTGTCCACCTCTTTGGTAGGTTTTAAGATGAATATCGTGGAGTTACATTAATTAGAAAATTAAAGGTAGCAGTAAAAAACGTGTTTGTGATTAGAAGTAAAGCTCATCTGATATTAGCATCATCTTTGCAGTGGGGTAACTGCAACGGTTGTGCCTCTTTCCCCTCCTGCTGCTCAGAGCAGTTTAATGTGTGCACAGACAGTTTAGCTCACCTGACAAGTAGATGTTGTCCCCCGCTGAGATGACGCTGAAGAACTCGCGGTCGTAGAAGGGCAGGCTAGCCAGCGGGTACCACTTACTGTTCTGGGGGTTAAAACATGTGACAGCTGTCAAGGAGCGCTGGTTCATCCCAATGGCCTGGCGCCCCCCCACCAGAACTATCACCTCCGCTACACCTACGGAAGGAAGGAAAGAGAAGAAAACAGGTCACTGGGGGAAGTCTTCATCAGTTAAAAAGACTGGATAAAAGGCAGAGGGTAGCGGACATCTTATGTTTTCTGTCTACTTTATTAGAAACACCTGTTCAATAACCTGCTAACACAGATAACCAGCCAATCACAGGGCAGCAACTTAATGTGTGTAAGCATCTAGAGGTGGTGAAGGTGAAAGTCCCAAACTACAGAGATTTAAGATAAAACAAAAACTGTTTATTACATTCAGCAGGCACCGGCCATCCCCGAGTGCTAAATGAAACGTAAAACAGCAAAGTTTCCGGTTTTTACAGGAAACTCCCGAATAAACGGGAAAGTATAACTCAATTAGGAAGACTGATGGGGCTGCCAGATGTGTGGTCGCCACTCGCTCTCTTACAGCGATCCACACACTCGTAGTAAAACATACTCCACAAGTGTGTGTGTGTGTGTGTGTGTGTGTGTGTGTGTGTGTGTGTGTGTGTGTGTATGTGTGTGTGGCATAAGACAATCACAAAATCAATAAACAAATAAATTTCTGTGCATTTGTATGTTAAGGTGGACTTGTACGATAAGAGGATGATGAGGGTTCGGTTCAGCAGATTTCATCTCAAACCCACACACACACACACACACACACACACACGCACACACGTGCGCGCACACACACACACACACACGTGCGCATGCACACACGTGCGCACACACACACACAGACGCGCACGCTCACGAACGTACACATGGTGGATAAAAACACCAGTGATCAAAAACACAAACACACACGAGATGGCAGGCTGCTGCATGTGTGTGTGTGCGCACGTGTGTGCATGTGCGTGTGTGCGCGCGCGCACGCTCAGGTCCTTTCAGGCTCTAGTGAGCAGGCGAGGAATCGGGACCAAACTGAGCTGTGTGTTTGTAAGCAGCAGGGAGACAGATACAGAGTGTGTGAAGGAAAGGGAGAACGAAATAAGAAGAAATGAGAAGGAGGTAAAGATAATCATTATGAACTTCATGCTGAGGCTAACCATTGGCTTTACCTGCTTGGATTGATTAACGACTGCTGGGCTTTCCATAATGCATGCTTCTGCAGGTTTAAACTATCCTGTTTTCACTGATGGAAAAGGCAGAAAAAGATGCAAACGCTCCCGTGGCTGGAGCAGAGGGAAGACAGAGCTGTGAGAAGCGCCTCAGACGTATCGAGAACACACAGCTTAGACTTAGTGGACAGCTTAAAGCCTGCTGGCTCCTTTTCCTCAACAGGATTTTGAGAAAGTCGCTCTGGAAAATAAAGTGGCAGCTGAGGGAGAAAACCGTGGCCGTGTCTGGTGCACAATCATGATAAAGCGTGGACGACAGCGTGTGAAAAACACTCAGAATGATGCAGCAGAAGACTCAGAGTCCAGTCTAGGATCTATTTAAAACCCAGCTACATCTTCTAACCCAAACCGGAATCCTGGAACGTCTCTGAGACCTCCAGTGGACCTCTGATGCTCCGGTTATAAATGGGGGTGCAGCTTTATGGGACAGTGGCTGTTCTTTGACAAAAATAACGGAGGGTGAACAGGATCTTTGTTTTCCCTCTCTGGAGCCTCTGTTCACACACACACACACACACACACACACACACACACACACACACACACACACACACACACACACACACACACACACACACACACACACACACACACACACACACACACACACACACACACACACACACACACACACACACACACACACACACACACACACACACTACTTTTCTCCTATTGTTCCTGCTGGCGACACGTTTGCTGCTCTAGTCCATTTCTCTTCATCACACCATGTTTCACCTTTATGGGGTTTTAAAAGTTAGACTATCGTCACAGTCTGGCTGAACGTTTCATCCCTCGCTCTCATCGGTTGAGCTCTAGTTTGCTGATGTCAGCAACCTGAATTGGCACTTCCTTTGTCTAAGTCTGAGCCAATTTTCAGGATTTTCGTTCTGTCAGTCAAGGCTCTAAAGTTAAATCGCTCCCATATTGTAAAAGAATGAAAGTGAAATCCACATTCAAAACCAAACTATTCCTGACGCGACAAGTCTGTTTAACAGAAATGTCATGAAATAAAATCTTTTTATTGCTGTTTGCTCCATCCCCGCAGCAGCCAATTAAAGCAGCTTAAGCTATTCCACATGTTGCCTTAACATTTCACACACACACACACACACACACACACACACACACACACACACACACACACACACACACACACACACACACACACACACACACACACACACACAGAGAGGTTTATTATCACCTCGTGCACGGACATTCTCTGTGCTTTCTGCTTCACCACACCCGTCAGAGATAGTGCACATCTGGGTGCAGAGGCTTCGGCGTGGCTCTGACCCCTGAAGCCCTGAAAACACTCGCCGGCTAACACAAACCAACGCCGGCCTGTCAGAACCGAGCCAAACGCAAGAGGGGCGTCACGCCGACGCATCACGTGAGCGCGTGTGTGAGTGTGTTTTCCTCAGAAAGCAAGGCCTCACAGGGACAGCTGTCAGTCAGCAGGCGGTTTGATGGGAGTTAGGTACAGGGATGAAGGGATGGAGGAGAGTACGGTGGAGAGGAGCGTTTGGGGATGAAGGGATAACAGAGTCTTGACAGCTCTTTTTTCCTGACAGGATTTATACCCATGGCAGTTTGGGGGGAAAATCTCCTTCTTCACATTGTTACTGACCTTTTTTGATACTGTTGGCATATTTTTAGCTTTCTTATGTTCATGAAAAAAATAAAAAAATAAAAACCTCAGCACAAGTTTTAACACGCTACGTTTTATTGTGAATCCAGTTACTGTCAAAAACTTTTTTGTCCTGTTGTGGCATCAAATGTGTTCCTTTTCTTTCTTTCAGACACTTACCACAAAAACTTTGGATGTTTTTTTTATTTCTGTTCAAGACAAAAGTCTCCACCCAGACAGGAACCAGAAGGTCTACCTATGCCATGCCAGCAGAGGGCAACAGTGCATGTAATGAAGACATATGGAAATACAAAGTAGGTAAATGTTTATGTTTATGTATTTCGCAGACGCTTTTGTCCATAGCGACTTACAAGTGATAATTGGCATATTGCCCTTGAGGCTAACAACAACAATAACAACAACTTGACATCAATCATGGAGAGGAGGGACGGGTGCAGGGAAAGTGCTAGTTAAGAAGATGCTCTCTGAAGACCAGGGTCTTCAGGAGTTTCTCGAAAATCGAAAAGGAAGCCCCTGTTCTGGTAGTGCTTGGTAGGTCATTCCACATTTGTGGAAAGATGCATGAGAAGAGTCTGGATTGTCCTGAGCGTGGTGTAGGCAACGCTAGCCGACGATCCTGTGATGACCGGAGCGGCCGGGCCGAGACGTAAGCCTTTGCAAGAGGATTCAGGTAGATGGGAGCCGTACCATCTCGGACTTTGTATGCTAGTGTTAGCAACATGTATTGTTTTTATCTCAAGTCTTTAATTTTTCTGCACAAATTTTGTGACAGAGTAAGAAAACGTTGGTAGCACTGTTGGTCACAGGTTCGAATCCCGACTGTGGAGTTAGCATGAGTCAGGTTAAAGGAGGTGAGAGAGATTCCACTTCCGTATATAGGAGTGGATGATGACGTGGCTGGTGAATGATGGGAGTTGCAGCCGGAGGCTTGATGGGAGAAGGAGTTCTTTGGGGGAAGCAGACCAGCTGAAGGGTTGCCGGTGGAAGGATCTTGGGTGTTTCTCAACGTCAAGGCGCCTGGCCTTGCGAGACGATGTCTTTGCGAGGCCAGGCTCCTTGCTTACGAGGACACTGTCCTCCCTAGGTCAATGAAAACGGTTAAATGGAACAGACTTGCATCACGTGACCGGAGCTTCAAACGGGAGTCACGTAACGTCATATTTTATACGTATTAGTTTCAATATTAATATATAAACAGCCTTTCACTTTTTAAATTGTGTTCATATTTGTTAAATTAAATCAACACATTCTCACACCCTAAGCGTCGGAAACAAACGCTTGGTCAGCCACCCTCCACGTCAGACCCCAGACGCCAAAAGTGCCCATTTACGTTACTTATGTGCGAAAAGGGGTTTTTCCTTTTTGTAGCTGCAGATCCCAATGCAGCGTAAAACTGACGTGATTAGATATCCGCTGATGCGGCACCGAACCAGCTCATTTAACTGCACCTAAACCTTAAAGTTTCACTATTTATAACCTTCCCCTCTCCCTCATCCTAACCTTAACCCTCATTTCACCGATGCGGCACCGAACCAGCTCGTTTAACCGCACCTAAACCTTAAATGTGGCACCGAACCAGCTCATTTAACCGATGCGGCACCGAACTACCTCGTTTAACCGCACCTAAACCTTAACCTTTCGCTATTTATAACCTTCCCCTCTCCCTCATCCTAACCTTAACCCTCTTGCTACCTAAAACGTTACTCTCACTGCGATCAAGCATTTGTTTCCCCTGCATTCTGACTCTGACAGTCAGAGTCTGACTGTGAATTTTTGTATTTGCCGCCCAAGGGGAACGTTAGAACATACCATCTGGCGAGGGGGAGGTTACACATACCCTCTACTTTTAACCTCCACCTTGGTGGTTGAAACCTCCCCCTCGCGTTGGCTCGGTCCAAACTCGACCAATCACGAGGCGGCTCCCGCCGTTCACTTCATAGAGCCGGCTTTTAGAGCGATCGACACATCACTAACGTGTTCGCTGGCAAGATTGTTAAGGTTAGGATAGGGGTGAGGGGAAGGTTAAATAAGAGGATAAGGTTAAATAAGAGGATAAGGTTAAGGTGAGGTACAATGAGCTTGTTTGGTGCCATTGTAACGCTGCATTGGGATGCAACGGTAGCGGCCATCCCATCGCTTCAGTTTTACGCTGCATTGGGATCTGCAGTCAAATAAGGGAAAAACCCCTTTTTGCACATAAGTAACGAAAAAGGGCACTTTTGGCGTCAGGGGTC